TGCATCTATGTCTTATTATTTATTATGCTGCATCTCATGCTTTTCTATAAACAATTGCCGGTAAAATTTGGGAGCTCTGTGTATAAAGTTCTTGAGTATTTAGAACCGGGCATGGTTGTTTATGCCTATAATCCTAGTACTCAGGAAGTTAAGAGAGGAGGGTTGCTATGAGTTTATGGTCAGCCTGGGTTACAGAATGAGATCCTAATCTTAAAAGATTGTTGAGACCTGATATTCATCAGAATCTGCTAAAAATGATTTCAGCCATGTCTCATGGTACCACATGCAGGTTCTGTGAACATAAGCAGTTGTGAGGAGTTGTATGTAGTATCCAAGTTATGCCAGGATCCTCTTTAATAGATCAATAAGAACTAAGCAGATTGTGCTGAGCCTTTTAATAAGGATACCAACAGACCAACTCGGCATGTTAAAAATACTTGTCATTTTAAAACTAGAAGTGGTAGCATACACATGTAATCTCAGCATGTGAGGTGGGGTAGGAGTGTCAGGAATTCGAGGCTAGCCTATGGTATATGAGATTCTGTCTCAAAAAGAAGAGAAAAGTTGAGAGGTGGTGGCATTTGGGATGCAGAGGCAGGCAGATCTCTTTGAGTTTGAAGCCAGGCTGGTCTACAGAGAGAGTTCCAGGACAGCCAGTGCTATTACACAGAGAAACCCTGTCTTGAAAAACCAAAAAAATAAAATAAAATTAAAAATGAATAAATAAAAGATGAAAAAATCTGTTATTTTGGAATGGTCCTCACTTCTGCCTAGATGTCCCTATTACATTTTTTTTTAAGTCAAAAAATATGATTTGAAGAACCTGGTAAGTAAAAGTGGAAGAAAGGGGCTTGAGGCATAGGGCTAGTACTACTTACCATTTATGAAGTCCTCGGTTTTACCTCCAGTCTCTTGCTCGCTTACTCTCTCTCACACATAAATGTTAAAAAACAATATTTAATAATTGAATTGGAGATAGATTGGTTAATTTTGTTTCACTTAGTGCTTCCCAGATTTAAAACCTTTTTAAATGAAAAGACTTTCAATTGTAGTAAAATATACATAGCATGAAGTTTGTCATTTTAATGATTTTTTAATATACAGTTCAGTGGTATTATGTATACTCATGGTGGTATGTAGCCATCACCACCACCCATCTCAAGAATTTTCCATCTTGCTAGACTGGAAATAGTACTGACATCTGCCTGGTCCTCCTTCCTCCATTCCTTGGCATCTAACAGTATCCTTTCTGTCATTAAGAGTGTGTGCTTTAGGTGACCCATATGAGTACATGTTCTTTTATGACTGGCACATTTCACTTGGTTATAATGTCTCTAAACATCATCCATTGTGAGATATAATTATTTTCTGGGTTTTAAGGCTCTTGTTATAGCCAATGTATATAAATGGAAACTGCACTTTTGTTTCCTGGCCATCCAGACCCGAATAATCACACAAAACTACGTTAGTTACAGCATTGTTTGGCCAATGGCTCAGGCGTATTCCTCACTAGCTCTTACATCTTAAATTAATCCATTTCTGTTATTTTATATTTTACCACGAGGCTTGTGATTTGTTAACTCATTTCTTGCTTCTTGGGTGGATACACTGAGCTTGTCTGACTCTGCCTTCCTTCTCCCTGCATTCACTTTAGTTTGCCCTGCCATAGGCCAAAGCAGCTTCTTTATTAACCAGTGGTAATAAAACATATTCATAGCATATAGAGGGGAATCCTACATCAAATGTATATATTACATTTTATTTATCTTCTACCATATGTATTATATATTAATAAATTTTATGTGTGTTTGTCTTTGTGTGGTATATGCATGCACATGTGGGCCCATGTGCAGAGGCCAGAGACATTAGGTGTCCTGTTCTCTTGTTCTTTTTCTTATTCTCTTGTGATGTAGCTGCAACTGACTCTAGGTTAGTGACCAGCAAGTTCCAGTGATCCTCCTGTCTCTGTCACCCATAGCATTAGAGTTATAGGAATATGTGACCATACCTGGCTTTTTATATAGGTGCTTGGGATTTGAACTCAGGTCTTTCATGGTCCCCATCCCCTTCATGTACTTTTTTTACTACATGGTATTCCATTGCAAGTATGTGTCAGAGCATATGTATGGTTGTTTGAATGTTTAGATTACATTTAGATTTTCAGTATATATTCCAAATAATTCTGAGATAAACATTTATGCTGTTACTTTCTGGGGCAAGTTCTACAGTGGATTTCATAGAATGTTTATATTTTACATTTTGATAAGCATTACCAAGCTTCTCTAGCAAGTACTCATTTTCACTCCTTTCTATTATAAATGAGAGTGTATTTTGCAACTAATAACCTGTACGATGATGTTCGAAGAAATTTGAATGTTTATTTTAGAAGGGCAGTTTTGATTATATGTGTATGCACAAAGTTTTGCTGGATTTGTCATAATAAAACAGTTCCACAAACATAAAAAAATAAATAAATGAGAGTGTAATGTCTCAGGATACCCGTCAATATTAGTTCTTAAAAATCTTTTTTTTGTGCAAGTGAACAGAAAAAATAACCTATTTCATTGTTGTATGTCTGTGTTAGAAATCAAATATACCTTCAAGCGATGCTTACCCACTCTTAAGAGATTTTAAAAATACTGTCAGTGGTTCTGAAAAGCAGTGTTGGCATAAATGGATAGTGTCCCAAAGTGACAGTTTTGAAAGGCACATTGGTGAGAGGCTCTGATGTCTGTATTAACAGAATGTTATCCCTCTCTTTAACCACACACCTGACATGCTTGAAGGACTTATCTCGACAGCAGGATTGGATAGTCATTGGAAGTGGGACAGCAGCATGTATTGAGTATCCTGCTTGGTGTAGCATCCTTGTTGCCAGAGAGATGTGATGCTAAGGCTCCGGTCTTTATGGAACTGCAGGCACACCTCATAGGAACCCAGAAATGACACTCCAATCGCATGTTTCCCAGGGAAGTCCTGTGGAAGTTTCCTCTCAGAGCTGGTGTGGATCAAATCACACACATTCATCACTGCTTAGAGTCATACTGTTTAACAGAGAAACTGCCTGCTGATGCTGGAATGTGTTGAAGCCTTTCTAATGAAAGGGGAAGTTGGAGAGTTGGTGTGTGCTCTCAGAGCTGCTTAACTCATTTCTCTGTTCTTTGTCAGCTGTGCTGGAGCAGATTCCCTTGACTAGAAAAGTTCTGTGTTTTTTGTTTGTTTGGTTATTTTTGTTTTTAAGGGTACTTCAGTGTACTTTTCTTTGTTCTTTGCTTTTTGATTTTTGGTACCAGAACACTCAGTAAACATTTAGTTTTTCAGGGAGGGCTAGACAATATGAAGGTAAAAGGCACAACCTTTTTGCCAGCAACTAGCTGCCTGCCTTTTATGGAGGGAAAACAGCTGATTGTCCTAGGAGGCTTGCAGGTGACCAGCTGTGGCCATCAGCTTCTTGACAAGAGGCTCTGTTCTCAGTGCTCCCTTCATGGTTATAGAAAAGACTTCGTTTTCACAAATGGAATTTAAATGCTCACTTTAAATTTTGTAATTATTTCATCAATACACTAGCATATTATAATTAAGGAGATCAGATATTTGAGAAATGTGTGACACTTACCACATGGTATTAGGGACATAGGAGGTCTGTCCTACATAAAGTTTTGTTTAGACATGAGGTACTTAGCTTTGCATTTCCAATTAGCCTCTGTGAGAGAAATAGTCCATGAGCCAGATATAAAAGAAAGGGAGTAAATATTAGTGTATTTTAATTAATATCTTGTTTAGCAATGTGCTTCAACCACATTTTTCTGATATTATCTTTAAGATCCACTAGATAATGGCAGACAAATTTTTGATAAATTTTAAAAATCAGATGTTATTAGATTTCCCCTGTTCCTTTCTAGAAGAGACAAATGACAAGAGTCTGTCACCTTTTCCCCCTCTCTTTTCTTTTTCCTTGTTTTTCTACTGGAGACCAAACCCAGAGCCTTGTATATGCTAGGCAAGTACTCTATTATATTCCCAGCCCTAAAGGTATGTATTTGTGTGAGAGTTAGTGTGTGAATATATGTGTGGGTATGGTTGTGTGTGTGTTCAGGTACACATGCCCCTGTGTATGAGGCCATTGTGAGTTCTGCTGTATAACTCCTATTCTCTTGAAACAGACTCTCACTGTACTTGTAACTAGGCTAGCAGTCCCACTGATCCTCTTGTTTCTGCTGTATGTAGTTTGGGGGTTACAGGCCAATGCTTCTTCTATGCTTAGATTTTTATTTTTAGGATTTATTTGATTTTATGTGCATGAATGTTTCGCCTGCATATATGTATGTGCACCATGTGTATAGTTGGTACCTGTAGTGGTCAGAGAATGTCAGATTCCCTTGCATTGTAGTTATAGATGCTTGTAAACCAACATGTGGGTGCTGGGAATCAAACCTAGGTCCTCTGAAAAAGCAACCAGTGCTCTTAATTTCTGAGCCATCTCTCCAACCCCTCACACCCATCTTTTTATGTGGATTCTAGGGATTTAAAACTAGTTTTGTCTTGTTGAGCGGTGGTGGCACACACCTTTAATCCCAGTATTTGGGAGGCAGAGGCAAACATATTTCAAAGTTCCAAGACAGCTACACAGAAAAACCCTATCTTGCAAAACAAAATAACAACAACAAAAACTAGTTTGGTCTCTAGGGTCTGTTTCCTAGCCACAGTATGTATTATTCTGTGCTGAATATTTCTAGCCCACTGAGAAAGTTCTGTCTAGTTCATAGGATAAACATTATTACATATAGCTTTAACAGGATCAAGGAAGCAGTTCTTATAATTAGGTTTCTAAAATAAGAAATTAATCTTGTGACAAGGCAATTTTGATTAATACATTTTATTTGAAAAGCACAGTATTATCTTAAAAGAAAAAAATGTTTATTGAACAAAATTACTTTGGCGATAAACTTTTGTAAAATTCCTGTTAGCTCAAAAAACTTCTTGTCCCTTTAAATTTACAGCCATGAGACTGTGAACTGCTAAGTACAGGTGAGTACTGTAGCATATCTATCACCTGACAACACCTTGTTCCTTACCCTTGACCTCACAGCATCATAAGCAGGTGCATGAAGTAGAGGAAGTGGGAGGGAAAACGAACATTCTAGCATGCTTCCTTGCCTTGAGTAGCCTCACTAAGTGTTGCTATGATTTGCTTGCAAGAGAGCCATAGGCCCTGGTGCATATAAGAATCTCCTTTCAGCTTAGCTTTTATCCATTTAAGCTTCTGGGTACAGGGATAATGTTGGATTTCAAGGTGAACTTTTATCATATTGAGTTTGTTTGAAAAATGATTCAGCCATTTTTTGCCTGTTTCTTAAATATTGCTGTGTGCATCATGTTTCTAGGTAGGTGAGTCCGTGAAACAGTATGAAGAGGAGAAAATAGCCTTTTAAAGAAACTGGCCCACAGAAAGGATGGCCTTCTTGGACAATCCAACTATCATTTTAGCTCATATTCGACAGTCACATGTGACCAGTGATGACACGGGAATGTGTGAGATGGTTCTCATTGATCATGATGTTGACCTAGAGAAGACTCATCCTCCTTCAGTGCCTGGAGACAGTGGGTCAGAAGTTCAGGGAAGCAGTGGTGAAACTCAGGGCTACGTGTACGCCCAGTCTGTCGATATTACCTCAAGCTGGGACTTTGGTATTAGAAGACGCTCAAACACAGGTAAACGGTCTTTAGTTGTCTTCTTAGCTTCAGATCAGTAGTCAGCCGAGAGATAATGGACAGGGTTGGAACAGGTCCATTAGGGAGTTTGTGCCTAGTGAGAGAGTGGCTGAGCATCTCTGTGTGAGTAGAAGACTTTGGTGTTGAGCTGTTAGGAGGAAGTAGATAGGAGAGCCTTATGTAGGTGGAAGTTGCCTTTAGAAAAGGAAGTGGCCCTGTTTTGAGACCTTAGAGCCACCCAGTCTCAAGTAAATGTCCTTGAGGGAGATTCTAGGGTGGCAAAGATCTCTTAATGTGGGAGCAGGATAGCCTAGAAGTACAGGCACCAAAATCAATACCAGAGCAGGCTAGCCCAGGAATGCAGGCCACTAAAGTCCCAGCTCCTGGAGGAGCAGTGGGATGTGGGACAAGAGGGTGGGTTTTAATAGGAACTGTACATGGAGTGAGGGAGGCACAAAAATGCTCCTATTTTGATACTTTCCCCTTATTTCCTTAAGTTGATTACAAACCTTTGGTCTCAGTGGTTTGTAAATACTCAAATTTGTCATATATATTTAGTTCTTAACTTTTAGAGGTTTATCATTGTCCATTGTCCAGTTGATAGTGCTTTTATAATCTTTCCAGGAGAATGCAGTGTGCCAATGCTTTTATTGAGAGAGATAGACAGAGGGGGGAGGGAAGGGAGTTAGGGAGAAAGAACACATGCTTAAATATACATATATACATATATGCATACTTATGAGAGAGCATTTTAAGGATCCTTTTTTAGACCATTATGAACTATAATCAGAATTAGTAGTAGTAGTAGCCTGTTAATCCCAAGGAAAGAGAGTGGCAAGAGATGGACAACAATGAAATATGTTAATTTTCATGCTCCAGATGTAAAATGTTAACTGGGAGTCTGCTGGCAGAGCTGAGTATACCTCACAGTGAAAGAAACATTGAAGTTGAGTTCAGAATGCAGTGTCTGTGACATCAGAAAGAATAGTTTGTCCCATAAGAAGAAAATAACTCACTTCCCAGTATCAAGAGAGACTTTTATCAAAATAGGGTTTTGATAAAACCCTTAGTGAAGGTTCGCAAATAATTTAGAGCCATTGCCACTCTAGTTGGAACATCCTTGCTAGTTCATGACATGGTATCTTCTGGGATAGGCTGGGTAGATTTTACCAGGAAGATGCTGCCCAATTAGAGTGTTACGGTGGTGTTACTGTGACTGCACCCTTCATAGTTACTAATGACAGTGGGTTTGGTTAGGTATAGTGATGTTGTCAGAATGCTTATGCAAGCCAGGGCTAGTGGTGGCACACGCCTTTGATCCTGGCACTTGGGAGGCAGAGACTGGTGGATCTCTGAGCTTGAGGCCAGCCTGGTCTACAAAGCAAGTTCCAGGACAGCTAGGACTACACAGAGAAACCCTGTCTTGAAAAAACAAACAAAAAAGAATGCTTTTGCCTGCATAGTTTTTAAATTTCTGGCAAGATTATTTCCAGTGTTCCTCTCCCATAATGCTAAGGAAGGAATGTATGGTTTCCCACCTTGAAAGTGTTTGCAAGCAAAATTTATTTTAGATATTTTCCTATTGCCGGTGTGTGTGCCTCAACAGGATGTGGAAGAGTAGCACGAAAAAACAGTGAGAGTGACCTGAGTTCTGTTTCCCCCAGTTATGGCTGAGAGCAGCAGTTGCTAATGGATACCGGTCATCTTTCTGTGAAGGAGCAGGCCACTGGTTTTTGAAGGCTGAAGGTTGATTAGCCAGTGTATAATAACAGACGTGTGATTTTAGGTGACTCTTTGTGCAGACATTTCTTTAGTTAACTCTGAGGTGCTAGCACTTAATTGAAGCTATAGGCCATATTGGTGATCAAGGAACTTAGTTTTTAATCTTTAAAGTACATCTTAAAGTTTTTTAAAGAAGAATTGTTCTTTTTTACGATTTGACTAATGTGACAAAGATACAAATCATTTATTTTACTACCTATAAACTGTTTCAGCCCACTGAAGAAAAGCTATGCTAATTTATATAGCTTTGACATTTTATAATTTTCATGATTTTTAGATAAAGGATTTTATATTTAAAACTTTAATAGTCTAGTCTGAGTTCATTTATCTTTAATTTTTGAAACGGGTAGAGTAATTCATAACAGTAATTTTATTCCTGTAATGTAATATTCACTTCAGTTCATTTGTGCATTAAAATTCCTTTAAGACCGTTATTAATGATTTATATAATGAAATGTCATATTAATCACAGAAGTTTTCACATTTTATTATTCTCTTCCATGTTAATACTATCTTTATGATCTCTATTAATGTTTTATATCCTCTAATTTCAATTATAAATCAAGAATATTTTCATGTTTTTGTTGGTATTTGCTTTTCAGGGGTGCCACCTTTAAAATTTTATGACTTTCTCCCTCCATATGCAATATAAAACATCTTTATTCATATAAAGGTAGTTAATTATGTCTTTGTTTATAGTAAACTTTCATTGACAAACTTATAGTTATAATATTTCTTTTCAAGCTCAAAGATTAGAACGACTCCGCAAAGAGAGACAAAACCAGATCAAATGCAAAAATATTCAGTGGAAAGAAAGAAATTCTAAGCAATCAGGTAAATGGAAATAACTTTCATTTATGATTTGGGATTTGTATACTTAGTTTATATTGTTATATATGGACTTCTATTTTTAATCTGTTCTTCTAAGTTCTTTGGGTGGATACCACTTGTGTTTGAGCTTGAGCCCAGTGCACTTGTGTGCATTGGCCCTGTTGGTTTGGGCCTCCTTTCCCACTGGTTTACAGGGTTAATGCGGTTAGAGGGTGTTTTCTAAAACCATTACTTGGTACCACTTTCTTTGGGCCAAGGAATCGTATATACTTTTTCAAATGAGTGTTTAAGTTATAGGTTCATTTGTACAGTTCTATTTATTTATTTGGTTTTTTTTATTTATTGTTTGTGTGTGCACACTCATGCACACATGTCACTCTGCATGTGTGGAATCAGAAGTCAGCTTGTAGGAATCAGTTTTCTCCTGTTGTATAGGTTTAGGGGAGTGAGCACAGGTTCTTCCTCATGGCAGCTAGAACCTTTACCAGCTGAGCTGTCTTGCCAGCCTCATTTATATAGCACTTTTTTTTTTTGAGACAGGGTCTCTCTGTAGCTTTTGGAGCCTGTCCTAGAACTTGCTCTGTAGACCAGGCTGGCCTCGAACTCACAGAGATCTGCCTGCCTCTGCCTTCCGAGTGCTGGGATTAAAGGCCTATGTCACTACCACCCAGCTTCATAACACCTTTTTGCATATATGTGTTGATTATTTCATCTTAAAATCCATTCTCTTGCTGGTATTGTTAGTGTTGAGGTTTTGTGTTCACACACTGTATGTATATATTACCTATTTTCAATGCTTCATTTTCAGCAAGAAGAAAAAATTTTAAACTCTTGGTTACGGTGGAGATGAGATGGCTCAGTCAGGAAAGTGCAATGGCAGACCTGAAATTCCAGTACTGAGCACACAACAGCAGGAGGATCCCTTGGGCTTCTGCCCAGCTAGTCTAGCCAGTCAGTGAGTTCCAGGTCTAGTAAGTGACCCATTCTTAGTAAAATGAGGTGAAAAATGGTAGAGGAAGACACTGGACACAATCGCTAGCTTCTGCATGAGCATGCTCACACATACAGTCTTGAAAGTAAAGTAGTCTTAGAATAGTGTATAATGATTAGATCATTTTCTAAGACGTTCTCTTTATTTTTTCCTTTAAAAGAAATATCCCTCTTTGTTCTTCCAATACCTCCTTGGCAGGTGATGGATGTCTCATAATCTTTGTTGATTGTCTCCATTGCTGCCCAGTAATTCTAAGGTTGCTACGTGACTAACAGGGTGCACTCGGCACTTCATATTCTTCACTCTGTGCAAAGGTGGAGGTGTTATTACTTATGATTACAGGTGAGACAGGCCATGGAGACTTGATTAACTTACCAAAGTCAGACAGCTAGAAGGTAGAAGCATGGTCGTGCCACACCTCACATCCAGCTTTGTCTTCCTTGACGAACCAGCCACACTATACTTGCTGCTTCTTGTGCAGTGCTTTCATTAGATCTGGTTTTCTTAGTGACTTCCTCTAAATGATGACTCTGCAGAACCAGAAATTCCATTGACATGCTGAGCACAGCAGGATACACCTGTCATTCCAGCACTCAGGAGACTGAGATAGAAGAATCTCAAGTTTAGAGCCAGCCTGGGCTACCATTTCTTTTTCATATATCTTATTAATTGATTTCTTACAGTTTTCAGTTAATTTATTTTCTTTTCTTAATATATGCCAAGTTCATGTGAGAAGTTTGCATCTGTGTGTATGTGTGTGTGTGTGTGTGTGTGTCTGTGTCTGTGGCTTGTGTGTGTGTGTGTATGAACTATAGAATGACGTTAGGTATTTTTCTTAGTCGCTCTCCATCTTATATATGGAAGCAGTTCTCTTGTCGAATCCAGAGCTTGCTGTGTTGACATGATGGGAATAGAAGCTTTTATGTGGATTCTAGGAATCCAAACTTTGGTCCTTGCGTCTGCTTGGTAAGCACTTTATCTGCTGAGCTATCCCCCCATCCCTAGCCTCTCTTTTGATACTTTACAGATCTGGCTGGGCTGCCTCTGTTACAGCTCTCTCCATTATATTTAATACGGCCTAAAAACACTTCGATCCTTCACCTTGTTTGTTTTGAAATTCCTGTGTCTCTCAGTACAGTTGCTATGAATCACCTTTTAATGAAGACAAGGGATGGCTTAAGCTCTTGGGCTACCCTTTATTTGCTTTCTTCACTTTGAAGTCTTAAACATATAAATAGAAAGAGCATGAACTGAGTGCCTCTGATGTCTGTGCAGCAGTCCATTTCCAACTGGAGAATGGTTTTCAGCTGGAGTGTTTTCCAGCTCATCTCACCAGCTTTAACTCTGTTGAGAATTTCAGAGTGTGCTGGAGAAGTGGACAGCCCCTCCAGCTTTCATTTGGAATCACTCTGTTCATTGTGTGTTTATACAATTTCCTCCTCTCCTTTTCTGTCTGTCACACATTTCAGGAACTGACTCTGATCACTATTTCTGGAGCAGGTTGTTACCTACAGTTCACCCTGCTCCATGCTGTTCTAAACAGTTAGCGTATACCTGCCGCATCAATGAAGAGAAGAATGTCTTTGAAATTTTCTGTAGGTCTGGCTCTGTCATCACAGCTTAGCACTCTGTTATCCTTAAAGCTTTCTAGAAAAGTGGAGTCAGGAGTTCACTGAGCATCTGCTTGGTAAACTGAACAGCACTCTGTTTTTTTTTTTTTTAAAATATGTCTGTGTGTATGCATATACCTGTGCACAGGGGACCAAAGGAGTTGAAACCACCTGGAACTGGAGTTCAAGTTAGTTGTGAGCTGCCTGACTGGTGCGCTGAGACTCAAACTCAAGTCCTCTGTAAGAGCATCATGTGCTCTTAACTGAGCTATTTCTCCAGCCCCTAGTCCTTTGTTTTCACACATCTTTCAAACTCATGCTCTCTCCTGGGAACAAATGTTATATTTAAAGCCTTTTGATCATCCTTAGGAATTTGGGGTCAGTGCCATTTATTTATTCTTTATCTGCTACTTATATTTTGTCAGACTCTTTCATCTGTCCTTTTATGTTCCTCAGTAGAAGAACCAACATGACTCTCATGAGCTCTCTGGCATGTTCTTCTTCCCACTGACTCATGGAGTCCAGTCACTGCTGCATTTTCTTCCCTGACTCCTTTCCCCTCCTTCTTCTTTTCTCTTCCCATCCCCTCCCCATGTGTCCCTATGTTTATCTGTGTGTCTGTTTGTGTGTACATGTGCTAAGGTGTTTATATGAACAGAGAACAATTTGTAGTTGTTTTTCTCTACCATGTAGGATAAAACTCAGGTCAACAGTCAGTCAGCCTTACCACTGAGCCATCTGGCAGGCTCCAGTGTGGCCTTTTCATAGAGGAATTAAAGGTCTCTTAGATAGACTTTGTGACTTAAACCCATATGACATGTTATAAGGGAATGCTTAGAATAAGACCCTCAGCCAGGCAGTGGTGGTGCACACCTTTAATCCCAGCACTTGAGAGTAGTAGAAGTAGGTGGAGCTCTGTCAGTTCAAGGACAGCCTGGCCTACCTAGTGAGTTTCAGGACAGTGGGGAGGGGGGGGGACTTCAGTGAGACCTGACTAGAAAAGAAACAAACAAAAAGACCATTTGGGTCAAGGTCAGATAAGAAATCTGAAAAATTATAAACTACCAATCTTACACACAGTGTAGGGGGAACCATTGTTTAGATTTTCATGTTTTTATTGTAAATTTCATTTATGACATGGGTATATGTATTTTAATATCACATTTAATATTTAAATAATCACAGGGTCATTTGTGTGCACAAATAGTTCATAAGTGTATTATTTTGTTATATCTGTAAGAGTATTGAGGTTATTTCCAGATGTTTTTATTTCCATTGTAAATAGTGAATTCCTCTTAGCTTTTTTATTTATCGTTGTTTATAAATATTTTAAATTAGAGCTTTTTAATTTTTTTATAAAGAACTTGCTTTTAAAAATATAATTAATAACTGGAGAAATTATTAATTTTCTTTATCATACATGTTGTATATAAACTTTATTTAATGTCATATATAATTTGTTGTCATGATGCTCTGATTACCTCAAATTTTTTGATTTTATTTTCTTTAGATTTGGATCTGAGGTTCATGTTACTTTTATTCACATTTTATTTATTGTTTTTATACATGCGTGCATGTGTGCATGTGTGTGTGTGTGTGTGTGTGTGTGTGTGTGTGTATGTATGTATGTATGTATGTATGTGGAGGTCACAGCACAACTTTATGGATTTGATTCTTTCCTTCCACCTTTATGTGAGTTTGGGTTCCAGAGGTTGAACATAGCTTGTTAAGCACTTTTGCCCACTGAACTGTCTAGCTAACCTTCACATTCTACTTCCAGTTAAAATGCCCCACTTTCTATTTAATGTATAGGCTCTCTTTAATTTTTTCTGGTAGTTTATTTGTTGAATAATTGTATCCCAGTTGTCTTAATGATAGTTCATGCCTTTAATCCCAACACTCTAGAGGCAGAGGCAGGTGAATCTCTGTGAGTTTGAAGCTAGCCTGTTCTGCAGAGCAAGTTCCAGTACAGCAAGAGCTACACAGAAAAATTGTGTCTCAAAATAAAACAAACAAACAAACAAACAAACAAACAAACGGAGACGGCTCAGTGGGTAAGAGCACTTACTGTTCTTCCAGATAACCCGGGTTCAATTCCCAGCACCCACATGGCAGCTCACAACTGTTTATAACTCCTATTTCAGGGGATCCAACATCCTCACACAGACATACATGCAGGCAAAATGCCAATGTAAATAAAATACAAAAAATAAATTATTAAAAACAAAACAGGCAACAATAAGTGTCTCTGGCTGTTTTCTATAAACTCTATTATAGCATCATATTACATTATATCAGGAAATTGCCTGGTGGTTTTTTGTGATTTTAAGAGTCGTGATGGAGTCAGGTGTTTGCCCATCCATCATTAAGTTGCTCTCAACGTCTTCTAACAGATGGTTGGA